TTTTATAATGCAAGAAGAATGAATGCACAGCCCTCAGGGTTATTAAGTTTTTTAACTACAACGACGGCTGGATAAATAATATGTAAGCAATATATATGCAAATGGAGAAATATTTTTTATGTACAAGGATGCATTTGTCTTTTTATTCGATTTTACTTTCGTAAAGAAATTAACTTATTTTCAAATTCAAGTCTCAAATACATATTTAAAAAATGGAAATCATACAAGCTTTCCGTGAAGCTTTGCATTTCCAAATCGAAAATGGAAATTTCAATTTTTTCCATTTTATAAATATATGAACTTACACACACACACACACACACACACACACACACACACACACGCGCGCGCGCGCGCGCGCGCACACACACACACGTGTGTGTATGTGTGTGTGTGTGTGTGTGTGTGTGTGTTTATTTTTCTAAATATTTTATTTTTTAAATGCACATCTCCGTAAAGATGGTTATAGTGAAATATAAAGCAAAAAATTTCAAGAAAATATTTTTCCATTAACATCCTTCGTAGAATCGAACTTTCCTTACCGAGAATAAAGCGCATAAAGATCGGTTGTAGAACTTTCTCATTCAGGTGTGCTTACAAAGAGCTTTGGCCTGGTTGCGCGTCCGCGATAGATGATCATTCAAACAAGAAACTAATAAGACAATATTTGACAATATTTTCAGACTTTATTCTACCAACCTAATATTATTATTATATTCAATATACTCGAAATTTATTTATTAGAATTTGTTGAGTTCTAAATCACAACATCTTTTTGTCATTAAATGATTTAAATCGATGATACTTAAAACGTAACTTACTTAAAACGTATTTTTACGTTATTTATATTTCTATACATTATTAAAAACCTTGCCCCTTCTTACATATTTGCACTTCCCTATGAAATATTTATTTAACAAAATTGCATCTTTCTCAATCATCTCTTCATCTCATGTCATCTTCTCAAACTTCGCCATCACTCGCGATGTTTCATCCCCCGTCGCGAAGACGGGATGAGGATATCGTTTCGTTAAGCGCACCAGTTAAAGCGACGATACGGTGCATGGTGTGGCCCTCCTATTTCGCGGAATCGAGCCGTTTAGGGCTACATTTCGTCGAGAATTTCCACCGGTGGAAGCCGCGTAATAGCTTTCGGTAGTTTGAACGACTACAGAGGTAATCTGTTTCGGTGAGTGAGCTGGGGGCGGGCGAGGGGGGGGGCAGGGTGTGGGGGCGCGGAGGGCGTTCGTTTAGCCGTTTCATTCCTGGACGAATTTTATTGAAACTTTATGAACGATCGAAAGAAGAGCTGTGCTCCAGATTCGGCACGACAGAAAGGAAATTGGAAACAGAAACAGGATCATCGTGGGAGTGATAACTCGTGAATCGTGCGCTTTTCAAGCAAATCGATTGTCTCTGTGCATGACGATGAATAGCGATGACCGCTCGAGATAATTGAAGAAAATGCATTGAAGACGATCTTTCTCCTATAGCAGACCTATAGAGATTGATGTTAAAATCTTTACAATATTTTATTGTGTTTTACAAAATTTTAAGGTTATTTCATTTTACAAAAGAACATTTTGGTAACGACGCGCTCTCTCTTTCTCTCTCTCTCTCTCTCTCTCTCTCTCTCTCATTATCTCTCGCTACTCGTATATTCAATCTGATTAAATTTTGACATTGTTTTCAGAAACAATGACTTCACTAGATACCGCTCACACAAGTTTGGAAGTTAACTACCGATATCTTTGTAATAATTTTTATGGCTAAACAAGAGAATAGATTTTTCTCGCGGTTATATTCGCTTGGAATTTTAAAAATCTTGTTAAATCTTTTAAAAAAATATTTCGAAAGAAGCCTCTTGATTTATCGACTTATTTTCCTCAATAGTCGTAATATTTCCCCGTATTTAAGACAACGATAATTTTGCTCTGCGAAATGGCTCGTTATAATCGTCGACAGTGGTGAAGAACTGTTTATTTATTTCTCAGGAGGAAGGACAGTGAAGAAGAGAGGAAAAAGAAAGGACGGGGAAAACAAACGATAAGGAGCCATATTTTTCGGCTCGTTGTGCCATTCGTCACGACCAAGAGCGACGATTGATATGCCGAACGAGTTGTCCTCGACGACATAGATGGATGGCATCTAGATTCTGTGGATCGCAGGTGCAATTCATTCATACTATTACTCAGAACGCTTCTTTACTATCGACCCTCTTTTCCCTTCGCATTATTCACCCTCTTATTTCGCCGAATTCGATAAGCTCCAAATAACAGAGGGGAAAGATAATTAAAACAATTATTATAGACTGAGAACGTCGATTTCTATCATCCTTTCGATACGTCTAAAATATTATTCGATTCAAGGAAGTAAGCAAGTAAGTAAAGTCGGCGAATGATTTGTGGTATTTGAAAACCAAATTAAAACTCTAATAAGATGAGTCGATAAATGAAAACAGCCGATGAAAGCCAGTGCGCAGCTGGTAGGGAGCAAATAATAAATTTTTTCAATCGTGTGAATCTATCGATCTTTTCTTTCGATAAGAGAAAAAACAAATTTATACAAATATATGTATAAATATATACAAATATATTTATACAAATATATTTATACAAATATATTTCATACAAATTTATTACCAATAAACGAACGATATGTTTTAATTCAAAATTTGGAATTCTCTTCAGTAAGAAGTGCAAAGCTAAATTAAATAAAATCAGTAAAAAAAAATGCATGAATCATTACGATAATATTCATTTGGCTTTATTTATGTAATTTTGATTGTTTTATCTACTTTGAGTTCGTATTCGGGAGAGCAGGGAGTCCCAATTTTGAACGGAACCGTTTATTCACTTATCGCTAATAAAGCTGTTCGGTCATTAGATGATTGATTAATTTACAATTGGATAGTTGTTGTTTGTTCTATCGTAATTACGTGTATTTTCTCTTATTGCCTAATCTACTTAGATTAATTAACCTTTTACTAAATTTATATACTTTGATTCAGTTTTCCACAAAATAAAGCATCGTGTTTCTTGAGCTACAATATTAAGTTATATCTTTTATGTTGTATTATGAAAAGCATTCAAGAGTAAAATAAAGAGACGTGTGTTATACGACGTGTGTCAAAGATCACCAGTGATTTAGATCTACACTATGTTCGCTCGTATAGTTTTTGAAATAAAACATACTGTTCTGATTTGAAAAACATTCTGTTGTGATTTTTTTTTTTTATTTCACCATTTAACAACACAACTGCAATAATTGGGTCTTTTTTAGTTATAAAATAATAAAAATATCTATCAAGGACTGATATGCTGCTTGAAAAATTTACAATATTTTATGTTAATTTTAATGTTCAGTAATGCATCTTTATCTCTTGAAAAGTTTCTTGAAAACTTGTATTTATTTCGTACTTTTTTGGCCTTTACTCGATCGCGTATCTCAATATCAAGAGGTACATTGTTATACACCTCGAGTTTCTTGCTAACGATACATAAACTTCGTAGAATTGATCGTAAACTGCTAGTTTTCAAGATTTTTTTCGCTTTTTGATACGCGGATGGAATCGTGACGCGGAGGCGAAGCTGAGAGGAAGATCGAGAGAGAGGGGAGAGATAACTCACTGCCGTGAGTTTTCACGGCGTGGATAGCGAAGTTTCCCTTCCATTTCGCTGCTCCGCGCCATCCCCTGCATCGTCTCTCCCTCGCCACCCCGCGGAATCACCGGCCCTACGTTGGGCTTTATGAAAATCCCAAGTTGAAGTTTAGTCGGGCGAAATGGCGCTGCGAAAGTTCCGCGAATGCGGCGGCTGGCAACGTCGTACGCTTTGTCTACTCGGCGGCTGGCTTGTTCCCCCATTATTTCCCTTACAGAAAAAAAGAATCTTCCTACTCGCATCGGGGGAGGAAGTTGTAGGAAGAGGGAACACTTTTCCCCGTTGAAAGAGCACAGCCGCGAAGTATCGTTCGATGAATTATGTAAATCGCAATTGGCTTTTCGCGAATAACAGTGTGCCGCCGTGTACACGGAGCGGATTTCCGGAACATTCCACCTTATTAATTCCAGATTCTTCGATCCTTTCTGATATTCTAAACTGGGGGACGCTTTGAGGACGATCCTTAATTGCTGCAATTTTTTTCATTAATAAATATTAAGATTGATACTAACAACTTTTAATATTTTTTTTTATTTTTAATACGCGTATACATAATCAACAAGGTATATCAGAAACATCTTTGGTATTAAAGAAACATTTAATTGACTTCTATAAACGTTTTTAACAAATTTTTAGAATTTTGATAAGCTATCTCAATCTGATGAGCTATCTGAATCTGATAAAAGGACTTCCAAGAAACTTTTGCACATCTTAAGAGTAATTAATCTCCGTATCGAGAACATTTATTCATCATAATGGAGTCTTGAGAGTTTTTGAACGAACCAGAAGCACGACCAAAGTTTCGACATTCAGCAAAACTTCATCACGATTGATAAATGAAAGAAACTTTCTTTATAGTTCAAGTGTAATTAGAAAAATGCCGAATTAACCACTCTTGTTGTAAAACTCTTTTCTCAACAGAATATCTAAATTTATCTTCGCTCATGCGCGCGCGCGTGCATGTGTATAAAAAACATAATAGATAATTATTAAATGAGAAAAAGAATTAATAATAAGAATTCAATGTTCTACTCTTAAAATATTTATATTTTAAATGGGAGTGTATGTTATTCTTAAACAAGAAAGTACGGATTTGAGCAACAGAAAATGGCGATGTATGATGATGTCTACCTTACGGCGCATTTCCGCCAAGTTTGGAATTAACGCAACGTTACCTCATCACGGTAACACGAACTAGGTAGATTTTGCGCTGGTAAGTAACAGCTGGAAGATTTAACAACCGATTTCAGAATTGGAATCTTGTAGATGAGCCGTGTTCACAAATTCACCACCATGTAAAAGTATAGACGGTTCACCAGCGTGAGACCAAAACTATTACCAGGCCAACCACCTTTGCAATTATTCGTCTTTTCGTGAAATTTCCGTTCGCTTCATTCACGACAAGCGCGAAGGCTACGCGAGCTTATCGGAATGAGTCGATGATAACCGATACGATAATAACGAGCGAGATAACCCGACTCCCTAATGATCCATGTATCATTCCGACTATCTAGCGTCGCGACTGAAAGTTCATCTTGTTATCACGCTACCGGGACGAACCTGCACGTTGATGACCGCCATCTGCCACCACGGCTGCATTCGGCACGATAAAGTGACTTCAGTTACAGCTACCAACGGAACGTGACTCTTTTAGATTAGAATCATAGATCCTGTCTTTGTGTTCGCCGCATTTCCGCTTAAGATTTTATTACTCCTCCCCTCCCCTCTCCCGAAACCAATTCACCTCGAGAAAAACGAACACATTTTTATTGTAACGAACAATGACGATGATTAGATTGATTAATCGTCAGACTTTTTGAAAGACTACTGTATGTACGTACATCGATTGAAAAGCTTAAAAAATTAATAACAATTAATTTTTAAACAATTATTTTACAAAATTAATGATGATCAATTGATGATCAACTTGTAAATTGAACAGATTGATTTCGATAAAAAAATATATTCATTAATTATAATATTGTAATATTTATATTTTTGCGTCTTTAATCTTTTATTTCTCTCCTCGAGTTCCTTTAATTTTATTATCAAAGTTTATTTTGTCAGAGTTATATTATTATATTAATTATAATAAATAATATTAAATTGTAACAATTTATATCGTTATATCTTCACCTCTCTTTAGCAGCGATTCATTGCGAGAAAAATGCAAAATTTTAAACTTGTAAATCGGTAGTATTCTTTGAATATCTCATTTTACGTCAGGATAATTCTTGGGTTCACCGGTGCGCGAATTCCACATTTCTACTTTCACGATATTACGTTACGTGGCTTGTAAGTGGAAATGGAAGTGGATCATTATATTTTGTCACATTTAATAATATAACTTACCGGAACGATACCGAGAAAAGTGACCATCGTTTGTTCCCGAGAGAAGAGAGCGGAAGAAGATATACGTGAAATATCCGTAGGATCGAGCGGGAGAAGCCGTTCCATTGACCCCGTGGGAAAAATCCATCGGAATAGAAGGACACGGTCGGCGGGGTCTAAAACTCAATTTGTCAGCGTGTCGTAGCTTTCGGGATCTTCCTTCCAAGAATACCGCCTTAGCCTTTTAGGGCCTCACGTTTCAGCTAACGCTTACTCCTGTCATGTCGTTAGTAGTTTCCTTTCCCCCTTGCCTTCCAAATTGAGTTACACTTAGATTTCCAAAAAAATGTTCTGTAGCAAAAACTATAGCTCAACCAAAGGTGATTGTAAGGAAAATCTTCAGGAAAATGTTCAGAAAATCTAGAAGAGTTTTCATCTAGTAAAATTTCAAGAAACGTCTTTGTAAACATAAGACGTTTATGATTTCTTATTGTTTTAAATAGAATAAATGGCAAATAGACATATAAAATATTTCAAATAAGTTTTACAGCATGGCGTTATTTTTAATTAAATTTAAATGTGTCAATTTTGATGAGGGAGCATAATTTTATTATGCTATATAATAATCAATAATATCTGTCATTACTTCGTCGATGTCATTATTTCGTCATTCCTGTGCGTCTATCTGCACTAGATGAGACAAACAAAGGAGACATCAACGAAAATCTTCTAAAAGCCATAGAAATACAAAGTTATAAGTTAAATCTTCTAAAAGCCATAGAAATACAAAGTTATAAGTTTAGGTAAGATCTTATTAGGAATAAAAACCTATAATCTTAATACAATAATATAGGTTGTTAGAAAAAGATTAAATCAAGGATGCTTTAAGAGTGCTTTTGATGTTAATAAATTACGATAAAACTTTAATAAACTAAATAACTAAAATTTTGCATATATTAATATGCATTGTGATTTGTATGATTTGTATGATTCTTTTTATAATTAATTACATATAAAGAAATGTATGTGAGAGCTTAATTTATTAAAATTCATATAAATATTAATATTAATATCAATATTATATTGATTTTATTATGTTATATAAAATAATTGATTTAGATTAATATATATTTACAATTAATTAATTATTATTTACAATCAGTATTAATAATAAT